TTGTGACGTACAATTACTTTCCTTTGGTTGAATGGATAATCGGTAACTACCACTTTATTAAAATAAGTTAACAAAACTGAATCACAGTAAGCAAATTCAGAAACAAGGAAAAGATTTTTCATAAAATAATGAAACATGACAGAACCGCCTAACCTTTACCTAACCCTACTTTAAAATACTTTAAGCAATTACTTATGAAAAAAATTGCTGTGGCTAATAATGGAACAAAAATTTAAGAAACACATATATAAAATCCAATTTACAGGGGTAAGACTTGAGCAAACTTTAAGTCCTAGTAAATTCAGCCATTTTATTTCAAAGTTTCACTTAAGACCTACATGATAATTACACCAAATACACCTGTTCAAATGTATTTTAGGAACCACCGAAATCAACAATATGATTTTTATGTACCCAACATTAGAAAGATTTTGAAAGCCAACCTGGACATTGCAGATGCGCTTTTTAGTAGAACAACCACATCTTCCATAGTACTGTGTACTCTTATAAATGAAATGAGTTTAAGATATCTTAATGTAGATAAAAATGTTATTCATTATAAATTTATGGTACTTGGAATCTTTCAACAGTCTTATTTTTCCCAATTGAATTTTGTTTCAATATTAAAACTGGACAAAAGGGTTCCTCTATTCCATATGGGCATAACTGCACTGTCTAAAAAGCATCTTAAAGGAATTTTCTCAGATTATGTTTCGTAAATCAAGACAGCAAAAGCATGAGTTTATGCCAAAAAAAGTAATTTTGACATTTCAAATAAGAAATACACACATGAAATAAAAGCCTACCACTAAGCTTTCCATACACCAATCATATCTAGAAATTGAGAAGCTGATGTGTGCTTGGAGGAAGAAAATAAGAATCTCAAAGTTATTCAGCTTTTTGTGTAAGCCATTGAGAAAAAATATGCTAGTTTAATATACTGCAGGAAAGTTTTCTGATAATCTTAATACTTGGTCTGAGAATATGCTTAAGATACATAAAACAAGAAGAGTAACAAAATCCTTTCATTCTCTCTACTGCAGAGTTTAAATCCAAATGCATGCATATGCCAATTCACCCTCTCACATCATGAAACCTGAGAAAAAGAAATTGCAGACTCACCATATGATTAGTTTAAAAAATGGGCATCACCTTCTGCCAAAAAAAACCCCCAAAACTAGCACAAGATGTATGAATATTTTATCATTGCCAAATGGTCTTTAAGAAGAGGTGGCGATAAAGACAAGTGACTTGCAGCAATATAAATATGACCAAGTTGAGTAAGAATAATTCTAGTAAACAAAGTAATAGGTCTTCCATCAGCAATTCAAAACAGAACCTCGCAACTTGCTACACGTAAGCACAGTTCTCTCTCAGACAGACTAACTGGCAGTTTCCTCCAAATAGACTAAATGCCACAGAGAGATATTCTCTATACATTGATACTACGATTTCATTACTCCTTGACTAATGGCAGCAAATTGAATTCCTTTTTTGTTGTTGCAGAACAGCAGCTTGAACTTTTTCCCTTTGCATAAAAGTAGAATTACTTCTCAGTGAGCCACCCTCTAAGGTGCAGTGTACCAAAACTTGCTGTTGTCCTCCCAAGTTCCAGGAGTGACTCCTGAGTCACTTCATCATTGCTCTAACATTGACTTTTACAAACTAGTCCTGTTGCTAACAGCCTCCAAACTAATTGCCAATAAAGGAAAAATATGGTAATAAGGCTCTTCTCTCACAACATTAGTAATGTGGGTAGGTCTACCATTCCTAGGAATCCAGTTAATCTTATTGGCCACTTTTCTGCATTAAGTCAATGCTTGGCATGTAATTCTACACTAGCTTGCAATACAGCCTGTCACAAGATGTTAGTTACTACTGCAGGAGCTACTAGGTTCGTCAGTACTAGAAATAACTTAATTATCTGGGTAAGGAACAGAAAAGCATCCAGAAAGGATTTCACTTACAAGAATCTCACACTTGGGGGAAAAAAAAACAGAACCCAGAAACCACCACCACCAAAAAACCCCTAGAAACCACGCAACAAAAGACTAGTCTTGTCTTCCACAGCAAGCAGCATTCTAAAGGAACTGTTTCTATATGGAAGTTGTAAGTTCTCAACAGGAAACACAAAGAAAATACCTCTGGAAGTAATTAAAGTACATTAGTACAATGATCTTCATAATCATGTAAGGAGTGGTAAATAAAAATACCATGACTTATAGAAAGAAGTGCTCTTCTGGTTAGGTGCTTTGGCATAACTAGTATGGCCCAAGGAATCACAAAAGCATATACAGTACTGAAAAAATCTGGTGATCATCTGATCTGACAAAAAATACAATAATAATAATACAAAAAGTATTCTAAATTAGAAAAAGTAGGGATGAGGATCTTAAGATCCACCATTCAGAAACAAGATTTCTTGGTTCATCTCTTCAGTATACTCAGAATGAAGGAAAAAACCCCACCTCAAATACAAGCTCCAGCCTGTACTCAGAGACTGAATCTAGTGTCTCACAAAAAGAGACACTCTGAACAAAGAAAATGAGTGGAAGTAGGATGGAGGTCCATACCATCTGAACTGCATAACTCTTCCAATTCTTTCCCAGATTAACTTGAACAAGGCACAACAAAAGCTTCCATATCTCCAATCAATTCTGACTGAAAATTCAATGCCAGATAAAGGCAGTTTTGCTTGTATGCATGGTTCTCCTCCTCCTCTTATAAAATAAGAATCCACTTCAGGAGCAATACTCTGACACAAAAAAAAAGGGGGAGGGGAGTGGGGGGATGGGGAAGGACAAAAGAGGATGAGGAAATGACTAAAGTGTCCACTGCACAAGATTTCCAAACTGCTGTCGCATCCAGCAACCTTTTAAGTAGGGCTGATCTTCAGACCAATTACAGCTGCAGCCGAAACTCATCTGCATCTGTTTTGCTTTCCGAACCAAGCTGTTCAATAGGCTGAGCCTCCTGAAATAAAAGTGTCAATCTACTAGACTTACTGTATGCAAAGACTGAGCAAATGTGCTACAGATACTGCATCTGAAATGGGAGTAATCTTTTAAGCAATTTTTGAAGATGTACACTTGGTATAGGATGCAAAGTGCATTGTTATCTTCATAGTAGGTTAAAAACACTTCACCTAACCAATGTCAACTGAGTTATCAGCCTATTAAAAGTTAACCCACAAATGAAAGTGAACCACCGAAATTAGCCACTAAATGAATTAACTTATGAAAGTAACAAAAATCATCCTTAGTTTTGGACCCAACAACTTGAAGCAGCAACAAGAGGGACATGACTAGTTAATAAACAACATATCCCTTTTATAACTTCATCCCAAGAATATTTGAGAACATCAGAACAAGATTAAAAAAAGCAAGTGTTTTAACTACCATTATAAGTAGTATTTAGTCTTCAGCTGCCCTGCTTGATGGAACTCACAAACAGGAATATATTAAAGGCACTCAGAAGAAAAAACTCTCAGAGGTTCTACTAACGTCTACTACATTTCTATCAGACGTTCAACTTTTTCAGACTTGTTTCATTCAGTCAAGAACAATACTGAACCCAGTGCTGCAGGAAATCTGTCATTTTAGGTCTTAGGAAAACTTCTGCCCTAAACCAAATGCTATTTCATCTTCTCATCGCTATTAAAGAAGTATCCTAGAAGCACATAGGATACCTCTTTATCTGCTCAGGGTTTTTCCCCACACTCCTCAGGAGCATGGATTCTGCAGGTACAGATAAGATTACACATTGACTCTGAGATGACCTGTACAGAAAACAAACTTTTCAATCTCCTTAGAAAGTCCACAGAACTACAGAATTAATTGCTTTACAGCTTTCAAGCTTCTCTTTCTTTTATAAAAGCTCCGTCCTTTCAAAAAAATTAACAGACTAAAATTTGATATGCAATTCCAAATCAGTGCCAACAACAGCTTTAGACGTAAATTTATGTATCAGAACAACAACCTTTATTAAAAAAACTTTTAAAAATCGATAAAGAAAAATAGCAGAACTACTTAAAGTAAGATAGGAAATGTATTCAATCATCATTTCTTCTATCATGTCTACATACTATACATATCATGTCTACATTACCACCTTCTTAAGCAGTGCTATACTCTACTGAGCAATACAAGGTTACAAGAGAGACCACAGAACAACAGATGCAAAACAGAGATGGTTCCTCATCAAATCCATTTACATGCCACATTATAGGTGGAACATAAAAAAAGGATTTCTCACTTTCCAAACAAAGTCCTGAAGTCAAACACTGAAGCTATAACACAGCAAGAGGCACATGGCACCTTCAAATTAGTTATAAAAGATCCTTACACGCTGCCTGACAGAAACAAGTTTCCTACAGTCTTCCAAACAGTACTTCAGCACACAAGTACAAGGATGAACACAACCCCCTTTTAGTATCTTATAACAGCTCCCAGAATGGGAAGATGCTGGAGAGTTTCAATAGCTCTCTGATGCAAACTAGGAATTCAAGAGAAATCTACTAGTCACATTCGCACTCCAGCTGGAAAATTACAAAACCAACTCAAGAATAAAGTACTACTCTGAGGTTAACAAGAGAAAAAATTTCCAGGTAACCAGTCATTATTATCAATAAGATCTGCAGCGTAATGCCAGAGACTAACATATAAAGGAAAAAGAATGTCTATCTTCTTTTGGAGTATTGTGGACTCAAAATTAGACCTATTAATAAAATCACTTGAAACATTTGCTCTGTCCAAGATAACAATAATCAAACCTGAAATTCAGAGGTAGCCATAATTATGAAGATAGTTTTCCAGACAACAGAATGTTCCTGCTTATTTGCCAGTAAGATTAAATAGAAAAGGCTAATCTTCAAAATAAAAATATATTCTTAAAAGCCACTAAGTCAAATAGTTATGAAGCAATTTTGAGTTCAGAAAAGTAAAAACCTATCTCTAATCTACTAACAGTGAAAGTACTAACTGGCTTAGGCATTAGGATACGTGTAGAGTTCCATGTATCTGGATTTTGCCATACTTTGTCTGGTGTAAACCTGTTGAATTCCAGCTCTTAGGTCATCCCATATCTGGTCAAGACCAATCTGTTTAAGTCCATGTGGGTTCTGACTCCTATTCGATGACATTTTGTATTTCCTGTAAAGACTTCCAGTGCAGCAGCCTGAGATCTGGTTATTCCTCCATCTGAATCACAAGTCAAGTAACATTCTAAACTCAGTTGCAGCAATTCAGTGAGATATTCTTTACATACAGAGAGTGATGTTTCCCAGGAAGATAATCTGCAAAAGGAGAAGAAAATATACATGTTATATGTCAGTCCAAATTCATTCACACTAGAGAAAAAGATACAAAATTAATCATTTCATTGAAACATTTTCATTTACAGATGAGAAATCCATGATGAGATCTGAAATACTAAAACCAAGGAAGCTAATTTTGCAATTCAGCAATCCACTACAAAATGTGACTGTTAGTGCCCAGATCTGTCCAAGGCTTGTAGGTATTTAGGTCAGTGCAGCTGACAACAAAACCCTAATAAGAAAATGTAAGAATAAAAATCTTTCCGAGCAGCAAATACTATCCTACTAAGACATGTTTCCTTCCTGTACAATAGTAAAACTCCAGTATCTCCAAACAACTGAGGGTTCTGTGTTAATTGTTTAACAAGCATCCTGATGGATATCCAAGATTAACCAGAAGATACTAAAAATAACTATTTTTCTTTGGTTATTAATAACTCTTCCAGACTTGAGATTCTATTACAGGTAACCTAAAAATCCAAGGTATTTTGGGAGCAGAAAATTTTTCTATCTGGTAAATGCATGTTTACATTAATTTCTTTGCTAAGTAAATGAACACCACTTCCTTCAACGTCACCTTACCAGCAAGAGAATATGCAGCCAATAACAGTGAGAAAAAGAACAACTAATAAGAATGCACAAAATAAAGATTGCATGAATTGTGAATGAAGGAATAAGAAACTAAGAAAATGCACTATTCCCCTAAGTGCTTAAGTGCACAAAGTTTGGGAGGTAGTGAAAAGACGGTTATCAATTCATCATCTTCATGAAGTGACAGAGTAGGAAAACAGTAACCTGGAAAGGATTACTGAGAATATCAAGCAGAAAAGATACGTTTGTACACAAGTCCTTAAAAATATTTTGCAATTTTAACATGTCTTGTCCACCACAGCAACAAAATTAAGAAGATACACAAAAATTACAAAGGAGGCAACATGATTTAAAAAATTAACCCACAAATTACAAAGAGTTGTAGTAAGTCAGGACCAACTGCAGTCTTTCAATATATAAATGGGGCTTATAAGAAAGATGGTGAGAGACTTTTTACCAGGGACTGTAGCAACAAGACAAGGGTCAATGGTTTTAAACTGAAAGAGGGTAGATTTAAACTGGATATAAGAAGAAATTTTTTACAATGAGAGTGGTGAGGCACTGGAACAGGTTGCCTGGAGAAGTTGTGGATACCCCACCCCTGGAAGCATTCAAGGCCAGGTTCAACAGGGCTTTGGGCAACCTGGTCTAGTGAAAGATGTCCCTGCCCATCGCAGGGGGATTAGAACTAGGTGATCTTTAAGGTCCCTTCCAATCCAAACTATTCTGTGACTCTGTACCCTATAGCCCATCCACTGAAACACTCAAAACTCAGTGAAACATGGTAACTTTTTGCCATGCTTCTATAGACAAGAATACAGCTTTACGATAAACCTGTCTTGTAATGGAGCCTGATGGCCAAGGCTCATATGAATCTTTCCATAATTTCAAGGATAGTATAGGCCGAGACCTGATAAATTCTATTATTTGGTTTCAACCTTTGAGCAGCGGAAAAAAAAAAAGAAAGATATTCCTTCAGGATGTACAGTATGTCATAGGTGCTTCGTCACAGCCACTTCTAGGCTGTCGCATGTTCTACTCCAGGTTTCATGCTGTTTTAAAGATTAAGTATTCTGTTATACCCTCCCTGACCCCCACCCAATTATTTCTAGGGCTTCTCTTCCGCATTTTCTCCTTTACCCTAGAAAGACCAGGTAAGATGGAGACATTTCTTCGGGTTTTTTTTTTAGTCAATGACTGTCTTACTGCAGTAACACAGAAGTTACCACTCTTCATAGTCCTCTACCATCCATGACCCATATGCATTTAAATCTGAATCTCTAAGTAAAAAACACTGAGAAGTATTTTCATTATGTCAATCTGAGCAACAAGAACTGTCTCATTTAAATCAGGCATAAACTGCTTCTGTAGCTAATTTTTCTCTGTACATGAGCAACAATTACTTAGAAGATTAGGTGGAAAAACAAGAATTCAATCAATATATATATTATAAAACATACACTCAAAATTCAACCTTACCATTCTGTTTCTATAATTACAGCAAACATTAGTAAAGACACATGGGAATAATGCATTATCATGCATAATTCCCATGCATTATCATGTGTAATACAGATCATACCCTGTTTGTACTACTTTAATTTCTGGAAATCGAACCTGCTGCAGTACTACCGATGGACTTTCACGACTGAGCAATGAAAGCAAGAAAGAACAAAGGTCCATGAGGGGCCATTCGCCTCTGCTGCGGGAAACACTCTGTACACGTCACACACCCACGATCTTGGACTATGATCCTAAGTCAGCATTGCAATATAAAGCAAGAAAATTAATTTTCTATCTGCAATCCAGGAGAGAAGAAGCTTTTGGTGCCTTAACTCAGGTACTATTTGAACTCTCCACAGAAACAAGAGAAGACACGGTTACAAATCCACAACTGTACTGTGACTGCAGTATGTATAAAAAGTAATTGACCATTATTCTCTTATTCATCTGCAAAAAGCAAGCAGCCTAAAATTACAGTGCACTTTAATAAAAATGTTTTGGCATAACTAATACAAAATACTTCACTGCTGTATAAAAGTTCCTAACAAAAGGCCAACCCCTTGCTAGCTAGCAGAAAGCATAACCCTTCCCAGGCAGCCTGCAGAGAAGAGCAACAGCCAGGGCTCTTAGTCATCTCTCCAGGTGCCAGTAAGATGCAACCACCCTTCCGTTGCAAGCCTGTGGTCACCCGCTGCTCAGCAGATGTGGAGGTTCCCCCACTATGACGATGGAAACTTCCTTCTCTAATTAAGCATCTTATAGTTTTTATGTACCCTGGTGCATCTACAAATACTACCTTTTCCCAGTATCTTTTAAACTCAAGGTGTTCCTCATTCACACCGTACTATTTTTTCCCTCCTCTCCATCTAAGGTAACCCTCTTTATTTAAGTCAGGACGTAGCCATTAAAAACAATGCCACAAGAAAGAACTTAATTTTGATTTTTATTTTCTCATGCAACCCACTACGTAGAAACATCTTTTCTTTTGAAGCAATAAATTCCACTGCATTTGACAACATTACCTCACTATCCTTTGGCTGGGTTCCAATTCAAATTTCACAATTAGACACCAATACAGAATGACAGCATCACATCACTAACTTCTTAGACTCAAATCATTTACTGCTTCCAGTTAGTTACTAGTTAACACAGTTGGGAAATAAAGCAATAGATGAATGATGCTATAAATTACTAATAATTGTTTTGCAGATTTATTCATGTGCAGAAAAACAGAAAGGCAACTATTAATATATCACCTTAACAAGAGTAAACTTTCACTCCATAAGAATACTTTAACTGCAAAAGCATATTTATGAAAGCAAACATTTTTACTTCGTGGTTAAATTAAGCTATGGTGTTACATGTATAGAGAGAGGAGGGGTAAAACAAGGCTTTGTTACTCAGCACAGCTGTTATACACAACCAACCAGTGAAAATATTAAATTCTATTTCATGTTAAAAGTGTAAGTGTAGTTTTCAAAATTATTTTTGTGATTTACACACTTAGAAAACCTCTCCTAGGCAAACAATTCTGGAAGGTCAAATCTGGTCCACAGTAATTACACTGCATCTCTTTACTCAAGGTCCCAATTGCTAAACTTAAGAAGAAGGAGAAAAGGGAGTTTAGAAGTCTACCATTTCTCAGTGCCTGAGCTGTGCACAACTGCCAAGAGCAAGGTGCCCTCCGAAGAATCATGAATTGCTACAGGTGAATTAAAACATTAAGTCATAACCTTTACATCAGTGAGGTATCTCACCTTCTGAAGTGCTGTTGGTAAGATTATGCACAAGTCAGTCTTGAACTGACCGTCACTGTGCTTTCTTGCCCGAACAAATCAAACTTGCTGGTGACCCACTTCACGGAGAGGACCACCTGTCCGAGTTGCAAACATCCACTCTGTAGCTCTGGACCAGAGAACCCAGACTTCATTATACCTTCAGGACCAGCAATATTTACATGAGAAAAAAAAAAAAATTACCCCGCAGTTTCCAGCTGCATATATACACAATTTGATGCAGCAATATGAGTGTGTTCAACGTCATCCTATCTTTCAATCCTGCATTCAAGCACTGCAATTAAAACACTGTCAAACAAACCCATCATTTCTGCCCATGCCAACCGTCAAAAGGAGGTAGTATTTCTGCCAAAACTTTAGAAAAACAGCCTTGAAGGACAGAAGGAAATGCTCTTCCCTCCTTTTCATTACTGGGGGGGACACAACATGACACACCTCATATGTAAGAAAACACACTGCATTGGAAAACAGCATTTTCGTTTTCACTGATTGTCTAATAATAAATGGTATTTCTTTAGATATCCCATCTGAGGAAAACGATGTGTACACTGAACGAGGCCTACAAGAAAATCTGGAAGTTAACCCTATTTTTATCTAAAAAACATAATAAAACCCACAGGATTTACAGCACCTCAAGCCTGGAGCAATTACTTCATTTTTATGTCCTAATACAACATAAGTTTCAGCTTCACAGCTCCAAGGCCTATGCATGATCCATTGCTCTCCCACGACAACTATTTCTAAACTACAGATTTCAAGATAGCAATATAAATAACTACAGACAGAATTTGAAGCTGTCAGCTGCTTGGCCCAGTAAAAACTTACAGGTCCAGAGCAAGGTTTCCCAACTGACCCAAGAGCCCAGATAGCATTTTTTTAAAAGACATAGTAAAGAGGCACAGGACCTAGACTTAAGTCATTTTGAAGTATTTTATCCTTGTGTAATTTCAAACATGAGAACATTCTTGTCACTCGCCTGATAGCGTGAGTTAAGGTGACCAGATTTAATCATAGTAAAACCAAACACATTAGGGAAGAGAAGCAAGTTTCACTAATAAGCTGTGGTGGATTGAATGCCATTATAAGTTCAAAGA